TGTGTAAATTTTCCGAAAAAAAAAGGTTTTTTTCAAAATATATATATTTAAACAATAACCTTATTTTCAAACCCCTACATGAACTTCCACTAGAAATCCCATCACATAATCATAAGGGCTATTGTGGTTTATATTTGAGTCATGAGACTAAGAGGTTGTTTGGTAGAGCTTTTTAAGTAGGATTTATGCCGAATTTACAGTAAATCCAACCCAACATTAGAATTCGGGCACATAAATCTGGCTCCTCTTAAAGCCAACTTTGGCTTTGTTTCGGCCTAAATCCCAAATTTACTAAATCCAATTGTACAAGATTTACTAAAACCAACTAAAGTTAAATCCTACTTGCGGCGAAACAACCTCTAAATCGGCCATAAAACATTTTGAACTATTTCATGTCCTGATTTTATGCTTAAAAGTATAAATAAAAATTGTCGACTTACTCTCTGCATAATCCTTTGAACCTGACTCATCCAAGTACTTCAGATGGTCCTGAAGGCAATTAAATCTCTCAGTCCAATAGCTACTGATCTCTTCCTTGGTTTCAGCAAGCCTTGGACCTTCTTCAGCTCCATTTTTCTGATCTTCTAGCCTCACACTCTGCTCCTGTTGCATCTCAGTTTTTGCGGAAACCTCAACGCCAAATTTCCTCAGCCCCAATGAGCACGCCATGTCGCCGTTCGAAGAGATATTTGTCTTTCCATGCTCAGTTTCGAGCTTTCTACGAACATAAACAAGATGACCGGTCGAGCTATTAGTAGCCAGAGATTGTTGCCTCTTGTTGCCAACTAAGTTTGCCGAATCTGAATTGTTTTGTGGTTCTTTAGGCTGTGCAGAGCTTGCTGGTGATTCCATGATGCTTTCTGATTCATTTGGTAATTCTGTCAGAGACATTCTGTTTGTGGACAAGGGATAATGGTTGTCTGAAGCAGTTGTGACAAATCTGCTGCTGAGTAGTCTCTGATCAGTGAACTTTTCTGTTGTTTTTTGAACCATCGAGGGTAAAACCTGCTAGCAAAATAAAAGATGTACTGAAATATGCATATGCATATATATATATAAAGAGAGAGAGAGCGTAATAGGGAAACATTCTAAGAAAATTCGTGTATAATAGTTTTGCTTTATAAAAAAAAGACAATAATCAATTAAACTTTATAAAATTAAATGATTTTAATTATATATCCCTCATAAAAAATAAAAACTAAATTTGAATCTTTTGAAAAAAGTAATAAAATCAATATATAAATTTAAAATTTTAACATCTTATCACAAAATAAAGAAATTAATGAATTTTTTTAATGTGCTTAAATAAGGTTAGTAATACATTAGATTTATTGAAAAATCAAAAATATATATATAAATTCCAAAAATACCCCTATTTTCAACATGCTAAGTAGCAATTCGGTTAGTTTTAAATGTGGGACTCTTTCAACATCTATTAAAAAAAGTGTTCATTTTGGTACCTTTTCAAAGTCTAGCACCAAAATGATCCCTATAACAAGTCGGGGGATAAAGTTGACTGTTTCTCTTTTCTCAAATTAGTTGAATTTCTTATTAACTCAGAACTAGAAAAAGGAACAACAATGGCATTTTCCCAATGTTACAAAAATGGTAAGTTGAACCAAGTTATTTACCAAAATTATTAAGGTTATCTGAAAGCATTATCATCTTCAACAGATAAAAGGAAAAGCTTCTCTAAGCTTCAACAAAAGATAAAAAAGCCAACTTTTAAGTTGCTAAAACATCAAAGTTCCAGTTTTAAAGTTGAAGATTTGGTTCTCCTGTGACTGCCCATTAATATCTTCATTTATGTTCAAAAATTATTAGTAGGAACCTTTTAATTCCTTTAATTCAATCCTCTAAAAAAGCATCCTAATTTATATGCACGGTGAACAAATGATTGATGAATTATTTTTTCAAACAACTGTACGTTTTCAAGGTTTTAAAAATCAAACCGGATAGTGAACCAGTAGAAAGAGAGGTTCAAAGTTCAAAGGTTGAACTAGAGTTAAACTTGAGGTTCAGTTGGATGACCTAATAAATCACAAATATATTAAAAAATGACAATACATAAGATTTACATACCAATCAATTCCTAAGTATTTAAATATCTAACAACTAAAATTCAATTTTAGCATGCCATTTTTTTATCTATGCATGAAAATGTGTATTTCACTTTTTAAAAATTAAATTAGAAATATGTTTTATGTGATATTGATGATTTTGGTGGTATAAATGTAAAAATATAGAATTTAGGTGCTAAATATGTAAAATTGGGTGGTGTCCATGATATTGATATTTTTTATGTGATATGAGTGATTTGGTTAAATAGATATAAAAAATAGAGTTTAGGTGTTAGATATGTAAATTATATAAAATTGGGTGGTAAGTATGTAAATGCTCAGCAGTTTACATAAAATTGGTTGGTATGTATGTAAATTGAGTTTCTTTGGAATAAATTATACTGAATTATATTTGTTATTTTGTAAACAGTTAACCTTTTTTTTTTAAATCCAACATCATAATAAATAATTGGTTTTGCCATTTAAATTTAAAAAAAAAAAAAACTGACAAGATCCATGTATCCTATGAACCGAACGGTTCTTTAAAACCGGAGCCAATTTGCCGGTTCTGAGGTTGAATTACCCGTTAAATCTGATTTTGGACAGTTCAATGCGGGAGGGGTTTTTTATGCCAACCGGAACTGAACCTGTCGCTGGTTCATGGTCAAACCAGCCGGTCCAGGTTTCTAAAGCTTGTGTTTAATCATAACATGGAAGATCAGATTAAATGCTGCTAAAAAAAATTTCATAGCACAAAAAAGTTGTAAAACAATGTTCATGTTCTGAAATTAGCATCGTTACATTACCCACTTTTCAATTAAAAAGCGCTGCAAATGAATCATTGACACAAACTATTATTATGCTACTTATTGTTAAATCCACTAAATAGTGTAGCAGCTATAGTCTGATATTAGGTACGCCAGTAACACTGGCAATTAGAAGCCCTATCAAAAGGGAAAATGAAACCTTGAACAGTCCTACAATTCCTAAAAAGCATGCAGATCATTGAAGGAAGGAACCAACGGAGCCTTTTAATGCAATTTCATAGTTATTATTGCTCCGGGAGCTTGAAAAAATTCAGGATTGGGCTCACTACATCCAAATGGCTTTGTCAAGAAATCAGGTGAGATTTTGGCTAAATCTTCTACTCTCATGATAAGGAAATTTTAATGGTATACCACAAAAAAATTAGATCAAGTATTGAGTTGAAAATTAAGAAATAATTCAAATCAATATAACTTGATTTCAATAATATTTATCGAGTAACAAAGATAATCAGAGCAGCTAAATTAAAATTTTACTAATCTATCAACCAAAATATAAACTAAATATATCAACACTATTAAATTAATAAAGCAATTCTAACATTAAATAACTCGGATGCTACCTAAAACATGAGCCTAAAAACACTTCTAAAAGACGAATGACTGACAACCTAAATTTATAAAATAAAGGGAATGAGATTGCAAGAAAGAAACTCCGTAGGTGAATCTCCAAAAAGTATAAACAGCAAGACACAAAACATAAAAATGAGCAAAATAATGGATAGGAATAAAAATAATTATAATATTATTACAGATACAAACAATATACAAAAGATAGATATTCCAATGGAAACTAGTCCAATGATTCTTAACATACAACATGTCAATGTTTGAGCAAATAGGTTGAATGTCTTATTCCTTTGCTTTCATTCCAATAAATAATAGTTTGTACAATTTCTTTTAGGTAACCTAATAAATTATCCAAATCTAAATAAGGAAAGAATATATACAATTAAGAGAAATAAATCGGAAAAGAGAAATTGAAAATAATTTAAATAAGGAAACTCCTAATTCTGCTGCCTGATTTCCGTCGTTCTTGTTTGATATCCCATATAAACATAGTTCATCAAAGAAAAATTTATGCCAACAAAATGATCATCATGCTCACATACGAACTATCCACTCATATAAATATAAATAAAATATTTATGCATATATATATATAAAATAAACATACACATTCCACGCATCATAGAAAATTAAGTATGAGTATTATTATCAATATTGCCATTATTATGTATATATCAAATATAGAATTGCAGCAAATAAAGTTCATTGCATTTAACAGGAGTAACATGCATGAAAGTAAATATTGTAACAAACGGGAATAATTCAGTTTATGCAATAATAATAAATCAAGGGAAGCTGACTATCACATCATATCAATATGATCATGTAAAGTACAATAGTCAATTATATTTCATAATAAATTTACAAGTAGTAGAAACATGCCAAAAACGGCAAAGAGTACGCCCTAACAAAGAAAGATATGTATCTCTCTTACTCTGTAGTATCAATAAAGATCACAAAAATCTTAGCATTTCGATCATGATGCATATATTCTCGCTCCAAGATATGATGCTCCACAAATGCTACATACAAAATAATCTAAATAAATCACACATTAAATGCATTACACATTAAACTATTAAACAGTCCCAATAATCAATTAAACAACTTTTATAATTAATGATTCTATAAGTTGTCCTTATTTTATATTTCATAGTTAATCTTAATATTACAAGATTATTTAAACTTTCAATATAAAATGTCTTATTTATGACTTAATGAAATTATTAATAACGTTCTAATGGGTGATCGATTCCTTTACAAATCTATTTAAGTACTGAATATGAAATATGTAAGTGTGCATCCATAAAAACTAATTTATCTATATAAATAAAATTATTTTTCTTATACAATATAAAGTGGATTATATTGCTATAAACCACCATTATCCATAAACATAAATCTACAGTGATGGTCACTATTTTCTTAAACTATTTCTAAGTTATAATTCATAATTTATTCTTACAAAAGGTATATGAGTAATCAAATGCCCCAAAATCCATAATTTAATCACCTAAACAATATCACATAAACCTTAAAATTAGCATAGATTTAATTTCATGTCAAGCTTCAATAATATAAAAGGATTAAAGTTCATTAGAAGGAAAGTAATTTATAGTTATTACATTCTTAAAGCAAATCAAGGTAAAGCAGATGCAGTAGGAGGAAGAAAGAGAAGAAGAAGAATTCATCGACACTTCCTTCCGTTTTCTCCATCACTTGGCTTCTTCTCTAACAACGATAGTAAAGTAGTCGAAGTTCGAAAAAAAGCAAAATCAAAAACCCCTCTTTAGGTACAAGTTGCATGCAATAAAAAGCCAACGTCAATCCTTACTTTCCTCCATTTGCTCATATGCTTGCAGTTGCTCACTTACTCGCCCTATGGATCGTGGCCTCCCTCGCTTTCTCTCCTACAACAGCTGGCTCTGTCTCTTGTAATGCCCCAAAACTCTAAATTAGGATTTAAAAGGTGAAGGAAAACCAAACCGGGCTGGATGCCTGATTCAGAAAAGGAGGCGGCGGCGGCAATTATTTGTTATTATATTCTCCCCACCTTGATGAAATTTTTCCCAAATATTCAAACCAGCTCTATAACCAAAAGTTTAAGGCATAAATTTCACTAGAATTTCGGCACAAAGGTTAAGCATCATATAAATCCTTTCAGTTGAACAATCCATCGACACTAAATCATCAAGAAACATAACAAAAATAAGTTGAAAATCTACTACACATCGTTTCACATTTCAAACACCAAATTAAAAGCATAACAAGAAGTGAAGCTTACTAAAAGTAAAGTCTCAGTTCACCCAACTACTTTCATAAATTATTAGCAAGAGAAGTGAGGTTTTATACAACCCCTGTACACTCAAAAAAACCAAAAAATGTCAGAATTAAACAAAGAACAAATGCCAGGAACAAATGGTGAAAGCACAATAGCACCTAGCAAACCAGGCTAGCAATCAATAAAATCATCTCTACTGCTGCTACTTATACAAACAAAGCATCACAACATAGAGAACATATTAAGTCAAATCTACTTCCTATACCTACA